ATATTATTTACGTAACATCAAATATATGATATAGAAGTTCTTATTAGATATCGAACATATATGTAATGCTTTTAGCTATAATCGAAATTTATTTGAAATTTATTTCATCTATCATTTTTTTTAAAATTCCATTTTCACATGAGTTGTTTTAAGATTCCAAATCCACTAAAGTGGATTCGAAATCTACTTAAGTGGATTCCGAATCAACATAATCCTGAATCGACTTACAACATATATACTTGTAATCTAACTATAAGATTATTTATTTAAACTTTTTAGTTTTTTACAAACAAGAGTACAACTAGCCATATATACAACTTTTAATTGTCTATTTAAATAATCTTCTCTAGATTCTACACTAACTGCTATACTTGCAACTTAACTAGAAGATTATTTATTTAAACCTTTTAATTATAATCTAATTTTATCTAATAAAATTTTTTAACTTAATTATTTAAATTTTGTTTGTACTTTTGAACTAATTATTTATTCTTAAGATAAACCTACTAGAGCCTTCCATATCTATTTTGGCTAACCTAATATCACAGTTATTAAGGCTCTACTTGCAGTTAAATTTTAAATCTATTTAATTACTATACTCTTGTAAAGTTTACTTAAAACTCTAATACTTATATATTTACTTTTTTTAATTTATAAAATCTTATTTTTAGTTTTCAGAGTATTTTAATCTAATAGCCCAGAAGGTTAAGTCTACAAATCTTTGGTTTATAATTACCTTAACTCTAGTATATATTTCTATAGTATATATCTTTTTTTTCCAGCTTATACTTTAGTAGTTTTAGTTGGTTTCTCTTATAAAAATATATTGTATTTTTTTTCTTTTTAAGAATACTTTGTACTCTTACTTTTGAAAGTTATATTCTTATTTTTAGTTTAAGTATCTGTTTTCAGTTTTAGCTTTTTTTATAATACTATTAAAGATTTTATTACTTTCTACTCAGGTACTTCAAGCTAGTTTTCAATTTTCTAGTTTTTTTTTAGTTTTCTATAGTTTAGAAAGATTTAATATAAATTTGTACTATCTATTCTGATTTGTATTTCTCTATATAATTTTAGTATTACATAGTTACTTTTAAAATCTTTTAGTGTATTAAATATACTGGTCCAACTAAAGTTACAAGCTTTAAAACCCAATTAATCAGTTATCATAATACAAGATAATTATTTAAAATATTACTAATAAGATTTAAATTCTGTATCTTTAGTTACAAAAAGCTTGAAAATAACAACCAACCAACTATACTAGATTATTATACCTTAATAGTATATTTTTTTGTAATTTTGTAATTAAATTTTAATAATTTTGGGCTTGTTAAAAATGTTTTAAAAAGACAACCATTTTGGTAATAAAATTATTTAAAACAAACTAATAGATCAAAAGCTATTTAGCTTTAAAGTTTTTTTTAAAAAATAAACTTTACTTATAAATTACTCAAATTAGTTTATATAATTCTTGTATAAATAATAAATTGTTAAGTTTTATAATTGCTAAGTATTAATAAATATTTTTACAAAAAATACTATCTACCGAATTTCTATTTTAATATATAAAGAGTTAAATATACAACAAATATAAAATAAAAAATATGCAGAGTATTGTAAAATATGTATTATATATATTTTAATATATAAAGAGTTAAATATACAACAAATATAAAATAAAGAATATACAAAGTATTGTAAAATATATATTATATATTTATTATATAGTAAAACCTTTCTAAGTATACACTTTTAAGACCAGGCTATAGTGTGTACTTAAAAAGTATATACATTTATAGAATTAGTATTTTTTTTCTACCTTACTACAACAATTAATATATTGCAAGTTTTTTTAATAATTATACTTGTCTTTTGTGTTTATTTATTATCTCCCAAGAATATTCAACAAAATTACTATTCCAATTGGTAGAATATTTATAAAGAATACACATATAGGTCTGGGCTGTAAAAACTTATACACATGCAAAGGCTAGAAAGAATATTTAGTATTATTTTATTTTTATTAAACTAGTATGAATGAGATACAATAAAATTAAAAGCTATATATATACTGTATATAATAGTAAATTTCAGTCGAATCTAAAATTTGCCAAAGGCATAATAAAAAAGCGGACAAAAACACGATAAAGAGCGGGTCATGACTGTGTCAAGATTGGCAGAAACAACGGGCCGGACCAGATTGGTTATAATGCTGCGGGCCGGCAAGTTTTAGATTCGACCATTTGAACAAATTCAACATTTATTTACACAGTAATTTTATTAACAAAAGAAAAGAATTTTTTAAATTAAGTAAACATCTATTCTATGATTGATCAAATAATGCAGAGCTCATGCCCATGAAAAAGACTCCGAGGAAAAAGAAAAAGCTCACGAGTTGACCATCTTTTGTATCATGTTTGACTGCTTGAGGCAGCATTCCCTGTATGAAAATATTAGTCAATTAATCAATTAAAGACGATAGATACTCTAACGACAGAAAAAATTAATGTTACAAACATTGATGCAAATAACACCCATTAAACCACTGGTTGCAGCGAACAAAGCTCCGTAAATAAAGTTGTGATTCCAACAACTGAAAGGTGGCTCGTTTAGAAATAGCCAGCCAATTAGAGCACCTAATGGCTGACTAAAACCACCCAAAATGCTAGAGTATAAAAATGCCTTTATTCGTGAACGTGTTGCGATATAGATAGGGAGAGCAATAGTGAGACCTTCTATGATATTATGTAAAGCAATAGCGGCGAATAGGGCGAAACCAAGGGAACGAGACGCTTGAGAAGAAACGAAAGTTATAAGACCCTCTATAAAAATATTAAAAATATATTAGATTGTCATGATTGGCAATAATAATCAAGTGGTCAAATAACCATTGATCAAGTTTTTTTAGATTAAATTAGTCAAATGGACTAGTTTATTACTTAATAATTATATAATATATATGTTGTGCCCAGATGACAATTTTCCCAAATGTCAATCTGGCCGAAATTGACTAGACGTTAGGATTAGATTTGGCCAATTAACATTTGGACTGCCCAATTGACAATCGAAGACTAGAATGTCGTTTGGGGCACAACATATATATATGTAATTATACAACTTGACAAATTTTGCTAATTGACTAGTATCAAAAAATGGTTAGATTAGACCAGACATTGGTAAAATTGGGTAGGGTCTTATTGAATTATTGAACGGTCAGAACTAACCCTGAATGATAATTTTTGAACAAAATCAAAATAAATACCTGGAAATTTATGAATAGAAATAGCTAAAGCAGTTTGAATTCCTATTTGCATTAATTTTGCATTCTCTTGATCAGATTTTGAATGAGAGTTTTGAAGGTCGTGATTATGATGATGATGACAATTATCTCTATCACCAGAAGGAATAGAAGATTCATCAGTATCACTATCCACAACAAAAATGGGGTGACTTTCTGAGCTGTCGGCCTCATTGAAATTACGAATATTTTGTAAATTGCAATAATCATCTTTAGATGTGTCAGCAGTGTGTTCATCAAAATGATTTTTTAGCAGTGGCGTATTTTCGTTATGACTGTCGACAAGATTTAAGTTATTCATTTTTGAGATTTTTTTTGAAATTTTGTGTATTGAAGTTTCATTTTGAGGAAAGTTGTGGTGATGGTGATGATGATGAGAATGGAAAGATTCGTCCGTAATGAAATGATGAATCAAATAATTGATCAAAACGGATCCAATTACACCCAAAAAGTAAAATAAGATCATGTAATGACCGGAGTGATCCTTTGAGATTTCAGCGTCCATAAAATGGTTCTTTGATTCATGTAGCAAAGTAAAAAAGCTTGAATATAGCTGAGAAAAATTTACTTATATAAGTAAAATTTTTAGAAGCAATGATATTTAAATTTTTAAAATTTCTAAATAATACAGTACCAATACTCCTGACCCGAGAGCAAATGACGCAACCATAAAATTTAAATTTTGCTTATGTCTAGTGACCTTTAACTTTGGAAAAAGGATGTCTGAAAAGACTGCGGAGGCTGAAGCAGGAGTATATAAATATATCAATAAAAGAAATGTAAAAATAACATTTGACAATTCAGGTTACATTTCATACATTTCAACTTACCTCCTATGCAACAAGCTAAACCGGAAGCAATTGCTAACAGCCACCCTTGAAGATTGCTGCCTTGTTCAGGTATTACGCTACACTTATTCAACATATTGAAATGCTTTTTTTCTCAAATAAAAATTAAACAGAAATGAATTCGCATACGGAGTAAGTTTTCTATTACAGAGCTTGGAGTGTTTTACAAAAAATGTGTTTATTGAATTTTAGCTGTCAGAGCCGAAAAACATGCAAAAGAACGGAAACCTGGAGGGTACACATTTTTATGTACCGCACAAGTTGTAAACCAAGGGTTGATTGGAAAAGCATATTAAATTTGGATCTCCGTATTGGCAGGTCACAAAAATTCCGAACATGTACGAATCAGGTGTAACTTCCGCTATTTAAGAGACAAAATATTAAATATACTGTATATTTGTTTGAGTACCTCAAAGGTTAACTTTATGTACTCAATGTGAATAAGTAAATCCTAAACTCCTCATGTCGCATGAAGTCCCAGGTTGGAAATTATAGTGCCAAAGTGCTTGTGAGTATTAATCACTTTCCTTTTATAACTAAGTCAACGTCATCGTGTTTTTCTTTTAAAATATGTTTTTATACGGCACATAATCAAAAAATCACTCATTCTATGCAGTTACGGACTGTTTAATTACGTGTACACACACATGAGAATGTGTATTGAAAATCCTGGACTTTTGGATTGAATTCTGATAAGTTCAAATATCTCGATTATACAAGATCTCTATCATGGTCAGCAAAAAAAGAATTATTCTTGCGCTTCTCTCTTGTACAACTAATGCTTCTGTAGAATTTTCATGCATGAAAAGCAGAATTTCTTTGTATGAATTCTGAATTGGGGTTCAAAATAATTCGGCAATCATGCTAAAATAATGTAGTATTTTGAGGTACCATTCATATGCATAAAAACTGAAAATCGAATTATTATTAGAACAACTGTTGATTTTTACCCAATTTTACGGATTCCACTTATTATACGTATAATTTTATTATAGTATTGTTATTTTATCATTTTTATATTCTGTTTAATCAAAAAATCGCAATTCTGTAGTTTACCAAATTTAGGGATTTGTTATTGCCATACTTTATGAAAAAGTTCCATCTGATAGATGAAACTAAAATTACAAGATCCTAATACTCCATGATCATGGCTTAAGGCTTTGGCAGTTCAAAAATCCTGATAGTTCAAATTAATTTATCTAATACATTTTATTATGTATCATTAGGTTCCCGGCTCATATACATGCGCAGTTCTAGCTCCGAGATTGAATGCTATGACCAGACCGTTTATGCTTGAACAAATTTCAATTATCAGTTGTATTCATGTTATTCGGATTCTTACTTTTACTCGTCCAAAGTTATGACGACAAATATTGCGCCAACTGCCAGGATCCCGACAATATCGATAGTAAAATGGGGTGTTGAAATATTAGATCCCCTTTTTTATATTATAATGCATATAAAAAAATTGGGTAGTATACATTATTTATATTTAGCTTTTGCTTAAACCAAAATAGTTACTCCATTTTAGAAATGGTATGTCGACATGTAAACTCCCGCTGAGAAATATTAGTAATCAATCATTCATACAATTATCTGACCTGCGAAGCCTCCTCTTGAGGTATATAATTACATAAAGTTCTCGGAGAGTACGTATATATGTTATTAATTTTACCAGAAGACCGTGAGCACTTAGCACTAAGTTTCGAGCTTGGAACTAAGCTAAAGTAGTGCTTCTATTCGAATATACTATATTCGATATAAAAATTTATGAATATTCGATATCCAACTATTTTTTTAGTGGATTTTTAGTCCTGTGAAATCTAATGTTTTTTTGTTTTTTTTTTTTGTTTTTTTGAAACGAATGTCTACAAAAAAAATATGTAAATCACTCTCGTCTCAATATAGTGAAGAATAGTTTTCGTTAAGCAATTTATATAAAATTTTCTTAATTTACTAATAAAATTCTCAATATAGTGAATTTTTACTAATAGAATCGATTATTTCATTATAACGAGAGTAATTTATATACTTATATATATAGACGAAACATTAAAATATTTATACAATAGAATTCTTTATTTAAAATTGTTAATTAATGTACTTTTCAATTGCATAAGCCGTAAGTCTTCATTCACCCGAAAAAAACCTTTTTGCATCACATAACCCCTATATATATATCTGATATATATGTGACGAAAAGGGCCTGTAA